TTGATTTTGTTGTCATGACTGGATATACCAACATCCACCGTTTTCCATTCAGGACATGCTGTAAAATCGAAAACACCATTTTCATTTGGTGTCTTCCATGGAGATGGGATTCCTGATTGTGTTGTCGTGTGGTTGATTATCTTCATTAATTTTAATCTAATATTCTTTTTGCTCTTTGTATGGCCACATAACAGATACTGTTAGAGAACACCTTCAATTTGTAAGTTCATTTTTTTTATGCTTTCAGGTTGCAGTGACGGGAACACCACTACAAGAAGTCGTTCCTCAAATCCTAAAAGGAAAATGGGACCATGATAGGACTAAGTTCTCCTTGCCACCATTGATGACTCTTGTAAGCATGTCAAGATCCATTTTGTAGCTTGCTTTGTAAATATGATTATCCATGCAAAAGAGTATCATATGCATGAAGTCAATAAATCCACAAACCTTCCCCGAACTTTGTAGAATAAAATCTGCAATGTGTTCTGATGCATGGTACTTTAATTTCCATTTTTATGTTCTTAATTATTATGTGTAGGATATGAGCATTATAGAGTGGTTCATAGAGCCTTGTACTTCCAAGGTGAGGAGTTATGCCAATCTTAGGTTGGCTAAAAAGCCTTACTGGAAACATAATGGAAAAAAATGAAGGTTGTTACTTATTAAAGAAAAATAAATAAAAAATTTAAGCTTGAATTCAAGTGTAGATTTCGTGCTGTCTCTTATCATTCTTTTGTGCATGATTCATAAAACAATGGCGCAATCATTTTAAGGGTCTCTTTTAGTGATTCGAGTGCTTTCTGCAGTTACTTGGAGAACCAGGAACTGGAGGATCATCCACTCCATCAATGGTGGGTTCTGTGAAAAAGTGGCAGAAGTCTGACCCTCAGAAATCGCTGGAGACATGGAAAAAGTTGTCGGAGGCAAATTCAGCACTTGAAATGCAACTCAATACATTAAGCAAATTGGCAGAAGAACACTGGGAAGAATATAAAAGCTTGATATACAGCTGCAGCATCCTCAAATCAGAGAAGGTATTTTACTCATCCTCGCTCAGAAACGAATTTTAATATGATAAAATCAAAATTGAGACAAGTGCCCCATATTTGGATTTGTTGGACATGTCATGTTGTACCGTGTCGTGAAGTGTGTGTTTTTGGCTTCTTTGAATTGCTGTTAATACTTTCCCTACCCTATAACTTCCTGCTGCTTGTATTGCCCAACATTGATGTTTGTTACAATTTTACAAAATTGTACAGTGGACACAACAAGTCTCTAAACCAAGCCAAGAAATAATTGTTAAAACATTATTAGGAGCAAGAGACGCTATGCTTGGGATCAGATATCATATGCATCAGATGGGAGAGGCTGCAGGTGTTCCGGTACGTGCATTTCTTAACTGGATTCTTGTTTCTTTCGTATAAAAAATATATGGTTTGTAAAGTGGAGAATAATAATTGATATATTATGTTAATTGTTTCATAGTCCTTTCTCAAAAATACATGTTCTGAACATTCCATATTTAAATAACTTGTGATTTGAATGTATTTTGACCAGGTTAAAGTATCTTCCTGGAATTCAAATAAAAGAAAAAACATGTACACACGCGCTCGCACGCACACACACACTTAGGGCTGGTTTGGTATTGCTGTGCTTTGAAAAAAAGCTGCTGTGAGAATAAGCGGCTGTGTTGTGAGAATAAGCAGCTGTGAAATAAATCAGCAGAGTGTTTGGTAAACTTTTTTTGTAAAAATGCTTTTGGAAAAAAAAGCAGTTTAATAGTAGGTCTTTTCATTAAAGAAGCACTGTAACTCCGTGTGCTTTGAAAAAAAGCCAGTTTTCCAAAGCTGCAAATAGCAGCTTCAGCTTTTTCCTATGATTTCAGCTTATTCTCACAGCAGCTTCCAAAATAAGCCATTTTTTTTCAGTTTACCAAACACCTAAAATCCTCACAGCTTTTTTTCATGGGTGCTTTTCTTTTAAGCACCTCACTCCCAAACTAGGTCTTAGTCTGTCACTACTCACTAGTCATCCCTATTTTGGTCCCTATGGAAGTCCTAGTTGATTTACTTAATCTCCCTACGTATATTTGAATGATAAATATGGCTTCTGTTACGTATCATGCTGAATGAACCCGTTGATGAAGTCCTTAGACTCAGCATTCTTAGACTTAAAGCAGAAATCCCTGCCATTAGAAGCTGCTTGTTTTGCGTAACGGGCTCTTGGGAATCAAAATCCATTCCGTGGAAAGGATTTTATAGGAATCAGTACGGTTCAACAATGCCCTTTCTAGTGTTTTGGAATGTTGGGAATCATTAATCTTATCAATGAGAGAAAATGCAAATAATTTGTATTCTCCTAGCAGAATACGTATTATGGCATTATTCTTCCGGTGGCCTTGAGGTGTACCGCAAAAACTCCTTTAAAATACATTGGTACTGATGTTTCAAATATGCTAAAGACTTTAAACCAGAACTAGAATCAGAACAGGGGCAACCTGATATCAGTCGTTTAAACACAGGACAACATGATGTTGCTAATAAATTTATTATTCAAATTTTTTCGTCATTCTGAATAGAATAATTAAGATTCAAACTATTTTTGTCATACTCTCTCTTCGCCTTTCTTCCTTGTCTGATCGATTCCTTATCTTCAAAACTTTTCAGATAGAACCAGAATCACAGACAAAGCTTTTGGATGCTACTATGGATATGGAAGGAGTGTTGTTGGCTGGAGTTCCCGGAGCAGGTGGGTTTGATGCAGTATTTGCCGTTACCTTAGGGGATGCTGGGAGCCATGTGTCGAATTCTTGGAGTTCATTCAATGTTTTGGCCTTGTTAGTTAGAGAAGATCCTCAAGGTGTTTCTTTGGAGACTGCAGATCCACGAACCAAGGAAATAACTTCATCCATTTCCTCAGTTAATGTTGGATAACCAATCGTTTTCTTCACTATTTATGGTGAAAAAAGGCGATTTGTAAGATGAATTGTATAAGAGTGGATATTAAACCAATTGGTCAAGTTTTTAGAGAAGAAAAATACATATGGGATACTTGCAGAGTGAAAATGTTACTTGCAACAAAATCAATAAGAGTTGTTTGTTTAAACTGTTCAAGTGAACCTATGTCATCTTTCTTATTCTTTAATTTGCTTGCTTCCATGTTTGATGAATTAGTTTCAAGGAATGTATTAGTTTGATGAATTGTTATGCACTACAGGCATGTTTACTTACAAGAAATAGGAATTTAAATCATTTTCATTTTGATTTAATTTGTCTTGGGTTTTTTTTTTTTTTAAACGAACGATATTATCTACACTAAGAGGGATATGGTGAGTTTAGTCTCATAATGAGCTAGCAATAATGCAATTCAAATTCGATTTTGGCGAGAATCGAACCTAAGATCTCTCACTTACAAGTATTAAAGGAATACCACTAGACCGTAGTATTAGGCAAAATTAGAAAGTGAAAATGAATACCACTAGACCGTAGTATTAAACAATATTAGAAAGTGAGGATAAAGAGTACTCACTATTAAGAAGAATATCATTAGACCGCAGTATTGAGTGACATCATTTGATCTTTTAATAAAGTATTAAAACTCCCAAACTTGTCATAAGTTGTTGTATTGGTTTCCAAGAATTCAACTCACGCCTCCTCCTTCGCTCGCAAAAATGTAAATTAAGAAGTCATTCACGGTTGATAACCGAAAAAGCCAAAACGAAGCAAGAGATTAATAGTTGAGACGGTTGAGTGAATCGTTTGTCGTAAATGAGAAAGTAAGCATGGAGTTGTTGCCTTGTTGGATTAATGTTTAAATGGATACACCCATAAAGTAGATATTTTACTTTTAGTGGCATAATAAGTGTGGGAACATAAAATATTTTGATCAATGGGAACACTATACAATTTATTAAATATGATTACTCTGTCTTTGATGGAATACACAGAACATTAGTCAAACTCATGGGTTAACGGGACACATTCTCACTTAGGCCCTAGAAGCCCGCAAACAACAAGCCCCTACGCCCAATTCATCGCAAACAGTCCAAATCGATCGCCACGCGACTTGCGCAGATTACCGTAATATGTAATGGGCTTGTCTATCAGTCTCTCAGTATGCCAAGATTCTCCAAAGCATATTTCAAAAATCTCAGAGGAATATTCCTCCATTTGTTTGTAGACTAGGTAACACTTTGCTAACAGGTTCAACTAATCTGGATGCTAGGGTTAACTCCTCAGTTCTCTATAAATAGTCAATGTCAGTCACTTTATTCTGGTAATCAAGAACTCTTACAACATTCTTTTTACCTCCTACAGTCTTTTTTACTTAAGCATATCGGATACCCTTTGGCTAACACCACACCAATGTTAGTCTAATAACTCTATTTGTCTCTTTTTTGTATGTATAGGTTTTCGTCAATTCAATGTGAGGTGGAAATTTGCTCTCGCAATAAGCATTTCATTTTTTTATCTCAATTTTCAAATTTTGTTACTAAATATAGAGAGAATGAAGATGAAATGAAGAGTGAACTAAGGAGAAATGCAAAATGAAAACAAACAATAGAAAAGGAAACCATGTTTAAAATTGTTTTTAGTTTTTATTACATTTCCCACAATTCTTCCCCTTCTTATTCATCCGTCTTTTTTTCCCTTGTATTCTCTCTTTATTTACATTTAAATAGCAAAAACAAATAACTAAAAAACAAATGGTTATCAACTAGACCGTGACTTTCGGTTTGAATTTTTTTCCATATTTTACCCACACAAAAGAAAAAAGAATAGATTAGTACAATACAAGAGACACAAATGGCTCAAGTGTATTGAAGCACAAGGTAGATGAGCTTCTGCTGGACTATGCTGGTGGTGACCGTTGAGCTCTTCAACTAACAAAAGACAAACAAGTATGAATAAGTTTTACAAGTGCACCCAAACTACCCTCCTTTTCCTTCCTAACACTCTAACCCTACGTAGGATTATTACCATCTATACAAAGATACCTGCATGCATCAGTATCTTTGCATATTATAGGGCAAGCTTGTGCACCCAAACTTCAGTGCAGAATCCATGGCAAAGATCACTAAGAGACTCTGCACGCTAGTTCTACGGCTGATGGCCGTCGGTGCTACCCTTTTGGCTGCAATTGTCATGGTTACAAGCCATCAGAGAACCAGCATCTTTGGAATATCTTTTGAAGTCAAGTATAACCATACTCCAGCCTTCCAGTAAGTTTTTTGTTTTCGTTTTTTTACGCCTTTTCTACGTACGCACGCTATATGCGCCATATTCTGTAGAGATCGATAGTTTTTCTTGCTAGACAAAAAACATCATGATCAATAGTTTGGATTGATGATAGTCTGGCAAGACGTACAACCATAGCTACTAGCATGATTTCTATTCATTTTCTTTGCGTATGTATGTATATATGTACCTGTGCTTGTTGCTATAAACGTACTCTTTTATCTTTGTAGGTACTTTGTGATCGCAAATGCGATTGCAACCGTATACGGCTTTCTGGTTATTTTTCTTCCTTCTGAGAGTCAGCTATGGAGATTAGTCGTGGCTTTGGATGTGGTACTCATATGAATTTATAACTTAAATCTCTCTAGCTACATTTTTTTTTCTTATTTGACGGTTGCTCATGTTTCTTAAGTAATATTTTATTTTTTTTGGTAATTCCAACCAATTTAATTTAACAATAAAAGCTGCAATTAATTGTTTGGATTATGAACAGGTAATCACTGTACTACTGAGCACAAGCATTTCAGCAGCCTTGGCTATTGGTACTCTGGGGAAGAATGGAAATTCATATGCGGGTTGGCTACCCATATGTGGACAAGTCCCAAAATACTGTGACCAAGTAAAGGGAGCCCTAATCTCAAGCTTTGTTGGCCTCATCATATATGTCCTGCTGCTTCTGTATGCCATCCACACTGTCCTCGATCCTCTCCTCTTGCGAAAAACTTAGACCTTCTCAACGAGTAAAATGGTCTTGCTGGATCTCATCAGTTTTGTCTATCCAGTGCATATGTAATTACTTTGTTCTTTGGGTTATTTAATTACTGTACGCACTCTCAAGTTTGGGTGAAATAGGAACACCATACTTTATTTAAAATATTCAATGTCATACACAAATCATGTTTTAGTTGCAATGTCATATTTTCGTCAAATAATATTTAGCCATTGAGTGATGACATAATAATTACTGATTCCACATATTTGCTGATGTAACTTTAAATTTGTGTGGTTATCTACTAATATGTAATTAGTTAGTACCCTTTCTTTGTAAATCACATGCTTATAAATGGGCACTCTATAACAAAATTGTTATGAAATAAAATAATTTGAGAGTGAGAAAGAGAGAGGGGCGGTTAGAGAGAGAGAAGAGGGGCGGTTATTTGTGAGATGATGTTTTCTTCTTGGTCGTGTACCTTTATTTATACTAATCATAGGTAGGGTTTTACTTGACCTCCAAATAATACTAAGTCATAATAAAATAAGATCTCTTAAATCTTATTAGATTCTATACAACTCATAAAGTAACTTTATTCGCAACACTCATCAAGTGTGTACAACTTAAGAAGTAATCGTATCAAGTCTTCATGCAAATGTAAAAGCAACTGAGGAAGTCAACTCAAAATTATGTTTCCTTTTTTTCGGCTAGGTCGGGCTACTTTTTATCCTTCTTTATGGATTACGTAGGCGTGCTACCAACAAATCACATATGATCTCGATGGAATATGTGAGTGATTGTGCTCCGTGAATCTAACTTCTAATAAAAAGATTAAACGACCAAGCAAGGAACCTATTATAAAGTCCTTTTACTCCTTTAGGATCAAGGGTGGTTAGATCGGATTTATATAGTTTGTGATTTTAGGTTCATAGACGCAAAGGAATGTAAAAGTGCAAGGACTTAAAGTGTGAGAAGATAAAGTGTGATAATATAAAAAACGATACCATAAACTACAAGAAGGTAAGTGCAGAAAGTAAAGTGCGATTGAAATAAACGACTCATATTTCAATGAAAATGAAATAACAAGATAACTATAAGTGTGTAAAACAATAAATCTTAAAGCAATAAAATTATGTGAACTAAGAGTTTGAAAAGTAAACGGCGGAGCGGATGGCTGGAAATAAAAACCTAGACTAAGAAAAGTAAAAGATAGCAAAAATAGGAAGTTTTGTGTGTTGATCAAAAGATCATTTCCTTCTCCAACTCCGCCTATATAAGTTTATATTATGTTATCGGTCCCAAATCCGAATAAAAAAAGAGAGAGAGGATGTTAGGTAATCGATACTCGACACTGCATTTTCACATTAAATCACTATGATAACGAATTATAAACGAAATGGCACTAAAGCTAACTCGTCACCCAAAAATAACACGTTATGTGAGCCCGATCATAATAAAATGAGCAAGGATCGATGGATCTCTATTAGCTTCCGAATGCAGAGTCAGAGTACGGTAGAAACTTCATTTTCAACCACTGTGTCTTAAGCCCATATTGAAAAGTGGACTTTACATAAGCCCATATCTTACGCAACAGTTTGAGATTTGGATTTTCAAAATTTTAGGGGACCATATTGAAAAGTGGACTTTATATAAGCCCATATCTGCAAAATCAAAAAGCATGGTCGGTGCAGCTCATCCTTATCTTACCGCAAACTCCAACACTATCTTCCTCGTGTTTCTTATTTTTAATTAAATAAAACTAAATATCAAAAAAATTAAATTATATTAAATTAAATTAGTGGAACAAAAAACCAAAACCAAAACCAAACACCCAGGTCTCTGTCTCTTTTATTATTCTCTCAATCTCCCTATCTTCTTCTCCATCTCGAATTTTCTCTCTCTACAAAAACCCTAAATTTCTCTCTCTACGCTTCCTAATCATTTCCAATATGGCGTCTGGATCATCGGCTCGGGGCAACCCGGGCTCACAGGGATTCGATTTCGGGTCGGACGACATTCTCTGCTCCTACGAGGACTACGGCAACCAGGACTCCTCCAATGGCAACCACAGTGAACCTGTCATGGGGAATAATTCCGGGAAGGTACTTTTACTGCTCCCACCTTTGGATTCTTTCGCGACGCTTTGCTGATGAAGGTTGCTGGATCTAGGGATTAGCTGATTGAGCTGTAATTTCATGGGATTTTGGTTTTTGTTAATTTAGGGTTCCGGATCATATGCGTAATTGGGCACAATTTTGGATTTTGTTTTATCTATTTTGCATGTTTTTGTTTTAATTTTTTGAACTTTATGAAATGGGTGTGGGTTAGATTTGTAAGGTTCTGAATTAGAAGGAAAGGAATTTAATTTATATTTTTAATTATTTGATTTCCCTAAAACGAAAATGATTTGGAAATTGGTAGTTAAATGATACAAGTTTGAATTTGCACCTGATGGGGAATTCTGGTTCTGGTTTTGCACAGAGAAGAGAAGACAATTATGCTTTTCGGCTTAGAAAATAAATTTTGCACGTTGGGAAACCATTTGTCATTAACAAACTTATTGTTCAACAACACGTTAAATTCGAAGTTCAGAAACCTTTCAAGTTATTTTTCTTTTGTTCCATTTTGATCTTTTGCCATTAATTTGAACCCTAATACGTGTTAGTTATCGAGTCTTAAAATGGGTTGGAACCTATTGAATTTGCTAACTAGTGGCTGTTGCATTCTACCTATAGCAGGATTTTCAGAGAAGTAGAATGTCAAGACAACCGATGTTCTCTTCTCCTGCCTATAGCCAGCCGGAAGAATCTCTTCATCAAGATGTAACTGCTACTGTTGAAAAGAGCATGAAAAAATATGCTGACAATCTCATGAGATTTCTTGAAGGAATTAGTTCACGGCTTTCGCAGCTGGAATTGTATTGCTACAATGTTGACAAGTCAATTGGTGAGATGCGATCTGATTTAGGTCGTGATCATGAAGAAGCAGAGTCAAAGCTCAAGTCTCTTGAGAAACATCTTCAAGAAGTGAGTTGCAACTCTAAATTAAGCATTTCAGATGGTGCATATATTCAATTTGTTTGGATTGGAATTTGATTTTATTGATCTTTCTGATTGCCAATATTTATAGGTTTTCAACTTTTCATTAACCCACTTTTTTTTATGGATGCGATGCTTTGGTGTGTTCTGCTACAGTGGTTCTACCATACGTTTCTTGGGCTTCAAAAGGAGTTGTAGTAAAGTATTTTGTTAGGTACACAAGGGTGATCCTGTGGCCCCGTGATTTGGGTGGATCCATCCTTTTCTTAGCTTTCTTAGGATTAAGAGTTTGGCAGTGTGAAATTTTGAATGTGAGATCTTCATAGTCAATTTATGAGTGCTAGTCTTTTTCTTCTTGCATCATATCTTGATTTTTCTCATCCGTACCTAACGATTTTTGCATCTTTTACTTGCACACTCTGTTAAATTGTTGAGTAATTGGGCCCGGGCTGTTCTCATCTTTGTAAAATGTAGTTTATCTTTCCACCCAATGTTTATTAGTTTGACTTTGTAGAGATGATTTTAGCAGTCATTGAACTTTTTCCAATGCCCACTTCAGGTCCATAGGTCTGTCCAGATCATAAGGGACAAGCAAGAACTTGCGGAGACTCAGAAAGAACTAGCTAAGCTTCAGCTTGCACAGAAAGGATCTGCATCTTCAACCCATTCCCAATCCAATGAGGACAGAGCTTCACCACCCACCTCTGATGCTCAGAAAGCTGACCACCCATCTGAAACACATAACCAGCAATTGGCTTTAGCCCTGCCACATCAAGTGGCGCCACAGCAGCAGCCTGTGGCACCTCCCACACAGCCCCCTCCACAGAATGTGACTCCACAACAATCCTATTATTTACCAACCCAGTTACAAAATCCACCACCTCAGGCACAACATCCGCAGAATCAATATTTGCCTCCTGATTCTCAGTATCGAAGCCCCCAAGTGCAAGAAATGCCAAGGGTGACACCACGGCCAACACAATCGCAAGTGAATCAGACACAAGTCCAGTCGTTCCCTCCGTATTCGCAACAATTACCGCAGAGTCAGGTGCAATTTCCACAACAGTCCTCTATGCAACCCCAGATGAGGCCACCATCAACAAATGTCTACCCTTATCCACCTAGTCAACAAACAAACCCATCTCCTCCAGAGTCTGTACCAAACAGCATGCCGATGCCAGTGCCATATTCCAACATTCCTCAACCAGGGCCGGGTCGTTCTGATCCCATGCCTTTTGGATATGGTGGAGCTGGTCGAACAATGCAGCAGCAGCCTCCACCTCAGCAAATCAAGGGGGCTTTTGGTGCTCAACCAGGTGAGGGATATGGGGCTGCTGGTCCTCACCCTGCACTTCCTCCAGGGAGTACTTATATGGTCTACGACAGTGAAGGGGGTAGAACTCAATATTCTGCTCATTATGGATATCCTCCTACAAGCATCTCTCATCATACACCACAGCCAACAACAGCTCCAAATCTTATGGCTCGGAATCAACAATTCCCACCTAATCACCCTTACAATGAGTTGATTGAGAAATTGGTACCCATGGGGTTCAGGGGCGATCACGTTGCAAGTGTGATTCAAAGGATGGAGGAAAGTGGCCAACCCATTGATTTTAATGCCGTGATTGACAGGTTGAATTCACATCCATCTGGGGGTCCTCAGAGAGGATGGTCAGGGTAAAAGAATTACGTACCTATCTATCTTCCATTTCCAATTGGGTGAGAGTCATGCGTGTGTTTTATTATTACGCATTGAATAAAGGCTTATATGATGTGTATGGTGTCCTCAGGCCTCGTATATATGGTTTGAGAGATGCTATGATTTTTGTATATTTGTAAACCTCATTCCTAGCCGAATGGCGCTTTTATGCCGTACTTGGATGTCAAGCAATAGAAAACACTTGTCGTAGATCTCTCCCTCTCCGTGCCCTGTCGATACTTTAATGTTTCTCTTCTTTCAATCTCTCGTCTTTGTCTAGCAAGTTAAGTTGGTGTTGGATGTGTGTGTGTTTGATTGGATTGCAATTGTAGCGATGAAGGCCCCGGTGCGGTGCATTTTGTTGATTTTTTTGTTGATTTTTTTGTTGATTTTTTCATGAGGCTCGACTTTGAGATTAGATTGTGATGGTTTGTGGCCGGCAGCTTTCTGTTTCTGCGCTGAAATATAAGAGAGTATCTAATGGCTTTTTGACTTTTGATTGCTTGTGATCGAGTATGTTATGTCTTTATTGGCATGCTTGTTCTTTACTTTGTTGATTGCTTTGCGAGCTTTGCTCCGACAATCGCTCCATGCAGTCTTCTCCATTTCTCTCTCTCTTGGTGCAAC